TCTCCCACCAGACCGACGGCAGCTACAAACACCGAAGTGTCGTTCACAATTTTGAGATCTCAAAGCCAGAAGCAGCATTGTTTTTTCTGCAGTCTGTGCTCCTAAAAATAGCAGGCACACAGTTACACTGAAGTTGTTTCCAGGCTGTGCAACATACATCCTCTTTCAGATTTTTCTTCCTTAAAAATAGGAGAGGGTGTTTGCGTACAGCCATGCTCACGGACGAGGGCAGGGCAGGCAGGGTACAGATGGCAGACAAAAGCATCGTTAGAGCTGTAGCTTTCAAGACCAGGAGCCTGAATTAATATTTCCTTCTAGTTACACCAAATATCCTGATGCTTTAGCTCCATTTGTCCTGGGAAAGGAGAGAAGCCCAAGTCAGGCTGGAAACATGTCAGATCATCGTTTCTAACAGAATATCCAAAACTAACTGCAAAATTTACAAGCTCATTGATCTTGAGAAGAAAAATAGTTCTGTAACTGTAATGCTCAGAGACAACATTGTGTTCAAGATAGCATTTTTGCATTTGGTGTTACAGATCTATCGGCAAAGAAAATTTATGACACGTACTCTGTACTTCAGGGCAAAACTTCACCCGTGCCGCCTGCTGAGCTCTGTTGCAGAAGGCAGTCGAGAGGCTCATTGAGGTGCTTGGTGCTTTCCCCAGTTTAGGGAACTGTATAGTTAGACCACACAATATTCTCTGCCTTTTTAGCATCCCCAAGAGTTTCGATGAAACGGAAAAACTCTAGAGGATAGGCTGAAATAGGACAGATTAGCACATAATATGCTGCATAGAGCCACCAGAGAATATAGCTTTTTCTCTGTCTGACAAGGAAAACTCTTTAAGTACACATCCTCCCTAAGTACCAGCTCTCTCTTCTTAAAACCAACAGTATACTACAAATAGTTATCTAGAAACAAGCTGTGGATAGAACAGATGATTATACTGGTTGTAAGCAGTGGAACATTGCATTCATTGTCACTTAACCTTGCTTGAATTTTTGTGGAAGAGGACTTCTGAGAGTCAGTGTGACTGTATATTCCAAGTTATAAATGTTTTTTTAAAATTAAATCCCTTATGACACATTTGTCTTTATTCTTTTCGCTGCAAACATATAAATGCAGATTAGGGCTTTTTATTACATTTTTATGCCAACCTCTGAACACCATCCAGAAGAGCTTCGTCGGCACATATGGGAAGGACAACAGTTGGTATTTAAATATAAACCCCTAAACAGCACAGCCTCATTAGTGCCAATTAATCCAAACCTGTTTTTACTCTAGCCAAATGACCAGCATGATGCTAGTTACCTGGTTTAATTCGCTATCATTTAGTTTATGATGAGAGCGTTTTCTTTTTACCCTCCAGACTTGATATCTTACACAGTGGCAATTTTTCCTCTCCCACCAGCACACAGAGTTAAAAAAAAAAAAAAAAATGCCGGTAGAGCTCTTTAAGACAGTTTTCATTTAGCTAATGTTCACCCACTCCTGGGAGGTACTAGAGATATCCTATTTTTGTGCTGTCTCTACACAGGTTGTTCAGACCTCCTCATTGTCACCAAATTTATCATTCCCGCTCATTCAACCTAATCATCCCTTAGCTGGTAAGAAGGAAAATAAAATTGTAAAAATTGTTGAAAAAAAGTATTTTAATATCTTGGGTCTCAGCATGCTTTTCAAGGCTTCTAGGAGGCAGAGGGCTATGCCTGGACAGGTAGGTAGGTGTGATGCTAAAGTGGCTGAGCTGTCTGGAATTGATATATCCAACTGGCCACCTCCTGAAGAGTTATGACCCCACTGAAAGACCCACTGGAGATGTGACCAGGCTCCCCATTTCCCAGGGAACAGCTTCACAGTTCCTCCACAGCTGAACAGTAGATTCAAGACCTTGCCTCTGCCAGCTGCCAAGCTGGGGTATTGGTAATAACATGTGTGCTCTTCTGCAGGTCAGAAGAGTGTTGACCTTCTGGACCTCGTTTAGTAGCCATCAGGGGGATGGTTTAGAGATCTTCATTTCCTCCAGTACATGTTGTGAACCATCTATAAAACAAGCTAGGTTCATGGACATTATGGCCATCACTAATACAGGCACCTCATTATAATCTAAAGACACTGAAAGGTAACTTAAATTTCCATTCTCCATATTAAAAGTTTTAAGAATTCTTGGGTTCATTTTCAAGCAATACTGGGATCGGTACTTGGAAAGTGGAACTGCTTTTTGTTTCCAAAGGCTTATACCTTTGATTTACAACACTAGCATGGGAGTCCTGGTCCCACAGCATTATTGAAGCATGTCCAGTACATACCCACATAATCAAGATACAATCCTCTATTTTTAATGAGTATTTAATACAAATTATGGAAACAGTCCTTGGAGGAGGAGTGAGAATCACGTCTCCCTGACTGTCTCCTTCCAGATATAAGGACCACACAGTAGTCTGTGTAGTCTTTTCTACCCAGTCAAGCTCCTTCTCTCTCACATTAATGCCTGGATTATTTTGCTCCCCAGTGACATAGCTCCTGAAGTAAGGGAAAGGGACTTTTAATGTCTCTAAACAGATGAGTCACTTAAGTTAGGGATGTTTGTTCAGTGATGCTCAGCTCCCCAGGTCCCTAGGAGGGGAACTGTGCAACACTGGTATTGTCACCTATGTCCTCTCCTGGATACAGCCTATGAGGAAGGCTTGGGAGTCTCCAATGTTTATCTCCTGGGGCCCACACCACAATGCCAGCTAATTCCTTTGCTATTTATGAACAAGAGATGGATGATAAGGGTGCTTGAAGGACAGTTTTGTTTTATACACCAGATCCTCCTCATCTAGTCTGTAGATTCTCTGCTTTACACCATGTGAACACAGCACAGCATCCTCCCATTTGTCTTACTAGGCACCATTTTTCGGTAAGGACAGAGTTATTACAGTGGATTAATGGCCATCATATTCCAGGTCATCTGCTGACCTGTCTGGCAAGCATAGATCGGTTTTGTTTCCTTTTGAGGCCTGACCCAAAACCTACTGAAGTCAACACGTGTCTCTATTACAAAGATTTCTGGATTGGGCTTTCGGATCCCTGTCATTGCAGTAGTTTGCTGCATCTGATCAATGACTTACATTTATTGTGATTCATATTTATATTAACTTTTGACAGCAAATATAATATTAAATACAAATATCTAGAAGGTAAAAATGATTAAGTGCTCAGAGGTATCTGCTTTAATACAAACATTATGAAATAAGATAAAACTACAAAAATAAAATCAATCAAAATCCTATTGAGGAATGAAGTCCCAGAGATCCAATTCTGAGACCAGAATAAGAAAGTACTTTCGTCCTTTGAATGAAAATTAGGCTGCATAGAGAGGGAACTCCAGAATTGCTTGAGGTTTTTTTTTTTTATTTACTCCAACTGACATTATAGCATTTTCTAATTGTTGCAGAATAGAGTCTCATACAATTACTTTATAGCAATTTGTGAGTCATTTGTTATTTTCCACATGTAGAGAAAACATATTTGTATAAGAACAGCACGCTTATTCCATCCAATTATCTTAATTTAACTGAAAACTCAATTCTATATCCTCTTCAAATTAAAATTCAGGCCCATCAATGCAAAATGTAATTCTCACCTTATCAGGATTATTTTTTTATATACAACTTAAAGTAAAAGTAATCAATACACATAACAAATACTCTTTACTCAGAGTAAAAATAATCAACATTTTAAGAGAAGCGACTTGCCTCCACCACCTGAAAGAATTATTCAGGTGTCTTCTACCTTTCCTTGAAACTTCTTTACACTGTTTGACTTAATAGATACAGATGACATGAAGTCAGCATAGGTTTTCTTTGACTCTTTCTTTGCTCTTCTGACTCTTCCACAGAATTTTCCCTTTTATGCGTACAGGTTCGATGTAAAGAACTCACCAATGACTGTTGACAATCTTTCATTTTCAGAAAGAGCATATGCAACTTAAGACAACAGTCGTTATTACATATTTTATCAGCACAGATATCAGCCCCACTACTTCATCTCCAATTTTAAAACCATAAAAGACGATAGATGGCAATTAGTCAGACACAAGTGACGCAAATGTCTAGGTGATTGTTTCTGTTTTGTCCTTTATGCATAATTTACTGACTAAATAGAAAAAAAAGTGTGAATATTAGCAAGTCATCCTATCAAACTCATACAGGAAGGTCCATTAGGCTTAATTATAAGAAAGATAATTTTTTCTATTTTTAGATCCACTTATGGTATTTAATAGATCTACGCTCTGTTTATAGTTGTATCCTGATGTCTTTATTAAAAAAAAAAACACAACACAAAAACTGTAAAGTCCCCTCACCCCCTTTAAGCATTTTCTTAAAATATTCCAAGATGTTACTCACAGTCTTTCTACCCAGCACAGTGCTGACAGGCACACAGTGACTCCCTACTTAAAAAGCTGTATCAATATCCTCAGAGAAAAACAGTTTATCATGGAAACAGCATGCCCTGCACTTTCTGCCCTCCAATGGCTGTTCACCAGGTTGCTAAACACAGCTCAGCCCACAGACCTTTGACATTTGCAGGTTAGCATCCGAATAAACTCTTGGGAAAGAAAACTGGGGGTGTGCACACGTGTAAGTGCACAAGTTTGCAGTGCAGGTCCCTGCTGTCAGATTACACCCACTGAAAGCACCAATAGCCTCGTGAATTGAAGTTTTTTGAAAAAC